CGGCGGCGGGGCCCAGGGGTCCTCTGCGCTCCCCGCGTACCTGCGGAGGGGGGTCCGCGTCCGGGGGTCCCCGGACGACCTCACCCCGCCGAGCGGCTCCCGGGCTGCCCTCAGGAGCGGGGGGAACCGGGCGAGCCTGTGCCCAGTACCCTGGAGAGCCAGGACCGCCTCGGCCTGTGGACTGGCATGCTGCCTTAAATGCCCCGACTCTGTGCGCACGGACGGCGCGCTCCGGTCCTGGCGAAGGGGACGAAGGGCAGCCCGGGCCCGCCACGTCTGACGTGGCCCAAGTCGAGTCCCGCCCCGCCCCGGCCTCCTGGGGCGGCAGGTGCAGCCGGGACCGGAGGGGGGGCGGGGAAGGGGGAAGCCTCCCACCGCCCCCAGCCCTCCCCCCCCCCCCCCCCCAGGGCAGGCCGGCCCATGAGCTGCTCTAGTGCGTGCCCGAGGCCCTGAGTTCGATCCCAGCCACCCACCTACATTCTCCACCTGCCAGTTGTCAGGGTGTGGTGGGAAGGGTTTGCGTTGCTGGTGCTGGCTGTGAGTCCCTAGCTGCCTAAATGAATAAAGTTTAGCATTCAGTGGAGCTGACCAAGTTACCTAGGGCCTGCCTGCCACACTGCCACGTGACCTGAATCCACCGGCTGGGAGGGTTTGGAATAAAAATCCAGAAAAGGAATATTTAGGCTATTATAATGTGCAAAAAGCAATAGCAAATCTCCCCCCCCCCCGTGTGTGTGTGTGTGTGTGTGTGTGTGTGTGTTCTTGAACTCAGGGTCTGAGCACTGCCCTTTGGGTGAGTAGCTCAGATTGGTGCTTTACCACTTGAGCCACAGCCCTATTTGCAGATTTTTGGTGGTTAACTGGAGATAGGCCTGTCATAGACTTTCCTGCTCAAACTGGCTTCAAACCATGATCCTCAAATCTCAGCCTCCTGAGGAGTTAAATCTCTCCTAAAGAAACCATCTCACCCCTCCCTCCATGAATAATAATTTGAGAGAAATGATCCTTTGAGAGAAATATCCATCGGTAGAGCTAACACATTTAACCTAATACATACATGCACACAAACACCGAAAATACACATCTTCACACATCTTCCTATTTCTTTTCAACTAGAAAAGCAACAGAAGGGATAGAGTGTGACTCAGGAGGTAGATGGTTACTTAGCAAATAGAAGGCTCTGAGTTCAAACCCTGGAACAGGAAGGGAGGGAGGGAGGGAGGGAGGGAATCAAAGTCAGAACCTGGGACTCTTATTAGAGACACTTAGCTTTAGCTAACCTGACTGACGTACAATCTGTTCATCTATAAAGTGGGAATGATGATTCCATTATTTCTGAAAACAGTTCTTATCAGAAAAATCTCAGACTGACAGAAAGATAATTTTCTACACCCCCCCCCACCTTATAGAGACAAAAACTTGTCTGCACACAGGACCTGCCTTCTTCCTCCCTCAAGTTCACCATTTGGTGTTCTCTCCCCAGAATCAGAATGTAGCAGGGCATCACTGCACTTTGACCACACTGTGCACAGGACCTAGCTACCTTGGTTTGTCCCATACCTGCTTTATTACTATCAGTGGGTAGGTTGGTTGTAGGTGGAGATCTGTGGGGTCAGTCCAAAAAGACATATTTCACAATGTCATTTCCAGCTGCTATCAAGACCATGTCTTACAGATACTCTCCCATGTTTATCAAGGGTGGCTGTTCATTGCTTTGGCCTCTCCTGATAAGTGTGAATCGTTCTTTCATCGATATCTATAATTATTTAACACTAACAGCAACAAACCAGGCAGAGTAAAAACCCCAGAAATAACTATTTTCTGCAGCTCACTTGATTCCTTATCGTTGGGCCTCTATGAACAGAAGTAAATGTATTCACCTTCGCTTAAAGAAAAAACAAATACAAAAACTTGTCTGAAATCCATTTTCCTTAATGAATTTCTCTTTTGCAAAATTCTTTAACTCCTTTTGTTTTTAATGTCTGTGATGAGATTTCAACTCAGGCTCTAGATGATGCCCTTTAGCTTTTTCACTAAAGGCTGATGCTCTACCACTTGAGCCACAGCTCAAGCAGAGCAGTTGAGCTGTGATTCAAATGGTAGAACACTTGTAGCTTTTTGCTGGTTAATTGGAGATAGGCAGCTCATGAACTTTCCTGCCCAGGTTGGCTTTGAACCACAATCCTCAAATCTTAGTCTCCTGAGTAACTTCGTACAGGTGTGAAACAGACCCAATTGTTTTCAAAACTTGAGATCCAAGCTGCTTCTTTCTAAATTATCAAGAAAATTAACACCAACAATGGTGGGAAAATTCCACTTTTCTGATGTTTATAAAGATGTAACCCAAACAACAGCAAACATTTTGATTGGAAAGGTTTTGATTAGGGATAGAAGTATAGCTCAAAAGTTATAGTGCTTACCTAGCATGTGGAAGGACCTGGGTTCCCCATCAGCACAGCAAAAATAAAGAAAAAAAAAGATTTGAGTTAAAAGAAATAGTGAACAACTTCAGGCATTACTTTGCCTGCACTGTTCCATTTTAGTGTATCAAGATTTTTTTTTTATAAAAGCCAAATCTAATAGTAAACACTTGTAATCCCAGCACTTGAGGGGTTGAGGCAGAATGATCATAGGTATGGAGCAGCCTGGGCTACTTAGTAAGACCTTATCAAGAGACAGCAAAAGAGGAGAGAGAAAGGGAAGGAGGGAGGGAGAGAGGAAGGGAAAGAAGGAAGGAAGGAGAGAATAATTTTGTAAGTTTCAGGAAAAAAATAATTCAAGATATTAAACAACATCTCTGAAATTCTGGACATGTTTTGTGTTTTAGGGGAGTGCCTACTTTATGTGATTCCCCCTCCCCCCCCAATGTATGTGTGCTGCTTCTGTTGACATTTTTTACTTTGTGTGTGTGTGTGTGTGTGTGTGTGTGTGTGTGCCAATCCTGGTGCTTGAATTCAGGGTCTGTGTGCTGTCCCTGAGGTATTTTGTTTTTTTAGTTTTTTTTAGGTCAAGGCTACCACTTGGGCCACAACTCTGCTTCCAACTTTTTGCTGGTTATTTGGAGATGACAGTCTCACAGACTTTGCTCCCTGGGCTGACTTTGAACCAGGATCCTCATATCTTAACCTCCTGAGTACCTAGGGTTACATGTATGAGCCACCAGGGCCTAGTTGCATTTTTATGTTTCATAAAATCAATATAAGTAAGTGAAAACTCAAATGGTTCTTAAAAGCTTAAAACAAAAGCCATGCACAAGTCCTACCAGCCTCCGTCTGTCTCCACCCCACATTCCTAATAATCCTGATGAGTGTTCCTCATTTCCTTATGCCAATGTTTCTACCGTTTCTCAGACACTGTGTACTGACATCTTATCAGAGTACGAAGGACCTATCTCATGGTACCATTAGCACTATATTGCCCCACCCTTGCTCTCAATTAGATATACCAAAACAAACAACAGTGAGGGCTTACATCATCCTGACAATATAAACAGAATGCATTGCTGAACCAAATAACATGCTATGATAACATTTTTTTAAATCCCTCTTCGGACTCTAATTGATTCCTCCATTGAAAAGAAAACGAAGCCCTGTATCTAACCTTTACCCATTCTTTCTTCAACATATCAAATTCCCATCAATATCTTCCAATGCCTAAACATGGAATTTTTAGTTTACTCCTATTTTTTTTAAGACAAAGTAGCTTACTCAGGAGTACTTAGGAATAAATATTAGAGTACTTTTATGTCTGAAAATATTTTTATTCCCGATTGATAGTTCAAAGATGTTGAAATTGAGTTTCCCCCAATCTTGTCTTTTTTTTTTGTCGGTCCTGGGGCTTGAACTCTGGGCCTGGGGGCTGTCCCTCAGCTCTTCAGCTCAAGGCAAGCGCTCTACCACTTGAGCTACAGCACCACTTCCGGTTTTCTGGTGGTTTATTGGAGATAGGAGTCTCACAGTCTCTCCTGCCCAAGCTGGCTTTGAACCGCAATCCTCAGATCTCAGCCTCCTGAGTAGCTAGGATTACAGGCGTGAGCCACTAACGCCCGGCTTCCCCCAATCTTGTAAAAAACATTCTTCCATTGTTTTACTTCCAGTGTTGCTGTTGAAATGTCTGCTGATTTCTGATCACCTTTGTGTCTCACTTGTTTTTGTTCCTAGCATGTTTTCATTGTCCCTGGAAGTCTGAAATTCCACAATGATGTATCTTTCTTTCTTTGTATCTTTCTTTTAGTATAAGGGATTCTTTTAATCTTATCTGTAATTTTTCCCTTTATTTCTCTGCTAATTTCTTTTCTTCCATTTTTTTTACAATTCACTTTGTGAATTCTTTAGGGTTTTAGAACATCTATATTATTCTCAAGCGTTAGCCTATTGAACATGTCTGCTTCTTTCTTTTGTCTGAGCCAAGTCAGAGAGAGTTGATGCATCTGATTAATTCCACAGGGGCCATGTGTCAACAGCTGGAGGAATTTGGGGTTGTCATGACAGGAACTCAGGGGATACACTGTCATCTAATAAGCAGAGGTCAGGACTTTTGCTAAACATCTTACAATGCCCAAAACAACCTCCCACTAATACCCCATTCCAAATGTCAATCACACCAAGACTAAGAACTCCACAGGAAGTGACTTCACAGAGGGATGGCTTTGATTGTGGTACCATTAGAGTGGGATGCACTGGGGTATACTGGCTGGATGAGGAGACAAAAGGATGCAAAGACCCCAAAGGATAATCCTTCACTCTGGTGCCTAACCCCTGCCTTCCACAGTACAGAAATTCCCAGTGCTAATTCTCTTCCAAATACTTATATTAGTCCTTCTTCTACTTTGCCAGGCTAGCTGCCACTACTTTATTTAATTTCTGAATTCTAAAATTTACTGACATCTCTCATCTTCTGTAGTTTTCTCCACATCAAAATAGAAAACAAAAGAACAGCCAGGCACCGGGTCTCATACCTATAATCCTAGGTAATGAGGAGACTGAGATCTAAGGATAGCAGTTCAAAGCCAGCCTGGGCAGGAAAGTCTGTGAGACTCTTATCTTCAATTAACCAACTGGAAGTGAAACTGTAGCTCAGAGTGGTAGAGTGCTAAGCTTTGAGTGAATAAGCCTTGAGCGAATA